TGCACAGCACTGCCGACACGTGCTGAACACTACTTGGTTGGTTAGTTGCTAACTACTCCAAAAAGCTGTTGCATTCTCCTGATAGCCATAGGAAGCTTTGATGGTGTGACACTTTGGCTGAGTATAAAAGGTCAGACTGAGATTTATCCAGGACATATTCCGTATTCCTGACAGTTTGTTTCATGCCAGTTTTTTTGAAAGCAAGTTCAGTCAGAATGACCTGGTGATACAGACATTTTCACTAACAGGTTGTGAGAAACACGAAGGTCCAGGGGCTTGAGCAGACCCTGGGGGAGACATGAGTTCAATTCCTGCTACAAATACCCTGTGTGACCACGAGCTAATCACTCCATTGTTCTGTGACTCAGTTCCCCTTCTGTCCAATGGGACAATGGTTTCCCTGTCTCACAGGGGTGGTGTGAGGATAAATACATTAGAAATTGTGAAGTACTTAGATGATGCAGTGATGGGGGCTGTATAAGTACTTAAGACAGATACAATTTAAGGCCCTGATCCTGCATATACTTATGTACCTGCTTAACTTTATACACTGTGGGCTTGATCCTGCTCCTGTTGAAGTCAGGAGCAGAACTCACTTTGATGTCGATAGGGCCCTAGTCCAGCAGTTCTCAAACTTCATTGCACCGGGACCCCCTTCTGACAACAAATTACTACATGACCCTGAGGGTGGGAGAGGAGGAGCCCCACTTCCCTGGGTGTGGGGGAGAGGGCCCAGAGCCTGAGGCCCGCCGCTCCAGATAGGGGTGAAGCTCGGGCTTCCGCTTCAGCCCTGGGTCCCAGCATGTCTAGTGCTGGCCCTGGCAACCCCATTAAAATGGGGTTGCAGCCCACTTTGGGGTCCTGACCCACAGTTTGAGAACGGCTGCCCTTGTCTCACTAAAACACCATTGGGTGTGACTCCAGATTTACACTGGTGTAAGTATGATTAAAATACAGCTCCTACTTCATTATTATTAATATTTCAAATAACAATAGCAGCAATCTTTCTGTTTAATCAGGAGATAGCAGATCTTGTTTTAAAATCATGGATGTATTAATAACTATTATAAGCAACAAGGGCATGATCCTGTGAGTTTTTGAATGTGTTCAATCCCGTATTACTTACAATGAAAATCATTAAAAAGAGAGGTGAGTAAAGGACAATATCATAAGGTCTTTCTGCAATTTTTGCTGTGGAACCCAATCTTTTATTTAAAATAAAAATAAATTTCTTGCAGTCTTTCCTGTGGAGAAGAAATTGTAGCATGTAAATGGATGAGTTGATGCTCTGGTAAACCTGGCATGCAGAAAACTGTCTATTACAGAAAAGAGCAGTACTGAGAACTCCCTCAATGTTCTGTTAAAGGTGACCTGCAAAGGAAACAAAGGTTTCAGAGTAGCAGTCGTGTTAGTCTGTATTCGCAAAAAGAAAAGGAGTACTTGTGGCACCTTAGAGAAGAACAAATTTATTTGAGCATAAGCTTTTGTGAGCTAGAGCTCACCTGTAGCTCACGAAAGCTTATGCTCAAATAAATTTGTTAGTCTCAAAGAAAACAAAGTAATTAGACTTGTGTCCTTATTTACTTCTTTGTGGTGCATAAAGATGGATTGAAGGGGCCATATACTTTCTTTTCAAAATTAAAAAGCCTTTTTCCCCGCTTACTTTTACATTAGAAATTGAAGTCTTGTTTAGGTTGGAAGACTCTATAATGGCTGGAGAACTAGTGAAATGGTGAAAGATTCAACTAAAGTGGGACAGCTCATGTGTGAGACCCTAAAAAGCCCTCTCCTAAATCTCAGATCAGACTTGACATTCCAGATATTTCTGAGAAAAATAAAAACAGACTTATTTTATTTAAAAAAAATCTTGTATGTCTTCTGTAACTGGGTGGTCTTCCCCTTTAAGGGCCAGAGACCTGGGGCCAGCTATCTTTAGTCAATTATCAGACCCAGCTGGGAAGGGATCAAGTGATTATAAAAGCCAGCAAGTGGCTGACTCAAGGAGGAGTTGTAGGAGAGAAATGGGTTTCTGTAGTAGGCAGGGGCTTGAAGAGCGAGGAAATGTACATCCTCTTTTTAGCATTGAGAGAAACTAGGGAAAAAGCCTCTGGACAGAATTGCTTTGTTTTGCCTAAAGTTTTATGTTCAAAAAATAGAACTGTGCCTTGGAGGAGGGGCAGTTTTTTAAAATTTGCGCCAAGGCTGAGCCCCAGCACCTCTAGGTTTGGTTGCCCAGAGTCCCAGTACCTCTGGGCTTGCTGCATCAGTTATGAGTGTAAAAAAATTAATTGAGCACTGGCACCTCTTTCATATTAAGCACTGAGGAGGGAGGTTTGAAAAGAATCTGGGTGCTGTTATACATTTTTTTTTCTTTTTTTTAAAGCCACACAGCCATTTGTAAAAATAGTTTGCTGGTCACCTGTAACTCCATACTCTAGTTGGGCCTATGAGTAAGTTGGTATTATTAATAATACTGCGAAAGTGGTGTGTTTCATGCATCTGTGACTGTCATTTTATGGTGGGGGGGGGGTTGCTTTGAAATGACTCACTTAAGAAGCATTTTCATAAACCTTACTGCCGTTTGATTTTACAGCTTTGAGCACAGCTTCTCTTCTGCTAGATGTTGGTACAACTACTAATGTTTGCCAGTGCAAAAAAGGTATTTCACTGGAAGATTACCACTTACCACTTGTTCTCAGGCAAAGCCCAGTGAAAAGAAATGGGTGGCACACCAGACTCTAAAGGTCAAGACTCAAGACCAGTTGAAGAAAAACATTTTTACTTATATTAATTCAAAATGGAGCATAAAAATTTGATAATGCTTCATCGGAATAAGTTCCCTTTTCTTAAACCACACCAGGGTTTTTTTTGTGCATGTGTTTGTTTTTAAAGCCTAGAATCACTGTAATGATAGAACAAAAAGTATTTCCTCCTTGCCATTTAATTGTAACTTAGCTGGAAAGAGAACTGAAACACTAATATTCAAGGGAGCAAACTCAGTTTTCAGTTATGAGCTTCTTGCTGTGGCCTTCTGTTGTGGTCACTTTAGGCCCAATTCTACTCTGTCACACTGATGTGAATTTGGGGTACCTCTGCTGAAGTTACTGGAGTTACCTCAGTGTTAAACTGGTGCAAGATTAGAATTAGGCCCTAATTGTATGAGTAATACAGTAATAATAATATGAGTAATTGATCTTAATACATTTTTTCTGTTTCCATATTTCATCCATAACAGGGTCTTTATGCCAGACTGACAAAAAGCACCAATGAAAGGATTTAAGGGAAACATCTCCAGAAGTGTGGCTACCTAAGAAGTTCTATGTACCTCAGCTCTTTGAAGTGGCGGGTCAAGAAATGTCCAGTAAAAATGGTAAATAAAACATTACAAGGCTCAGTTCTTAAGCCAGCACTCAAGAAAAACATGGCACTCAAAGATAACTCAATGTTTTCTGTCACTTCTGTCTTCGGATATAATAATTCATTATGTTTAAGAATCCCAGTAAGAGAGTTAGAGCTTTCCCTATGAGAGAGGGTGTTAACATGTACACCTGTCCAGAGTTACTCTATTCAGGTTAATGGATTATTTTGGATTTATACCAACATAACAGCAGAGTTTAACACAGTCACTTCTGCTACATTCCCCACTTGCTTGATCTCATTATCCTGATGATAAAGACTAGTGTGAATTATTCTGAATTAGATGAAACTCTGTAGTTTATTTTAACTTCTCTGGGTGGCCAGTTTAAATGTGTAAGATTAGTTTAAGTGATTTGTGCATGGTGACATGTTTTATATTTATGGAAGGATGGTAACATCCTTTAAAGCGAATCTTGACAGTTACACAGAAGTGCTCCCCTAAGTATTATGTGGAGAAAGATGGATTAATTGCTCTTCTAATCACTGATTTCATTTCAAACTTGTATAAGGAGGCATTTGAGCTCTTCAATTTAAGAGTTCTGTGGGGCAAAAGGGAAACATTGTGGCCCCATTTTATCAAGGGCAGTGGAGCTGCACCTGCTTCCACTACGGGTGAATTTGACCCTATGGTTCTCCTGCAGTTAGCTGAACTCCTTATCTCCATAAACACATCTGCACTACAGTTACAGCCTCAAAAGGAGAACCTCAGTACAATATTGTTCCAGTGTGTAGTGCACCCCAGAACTTAACTATACACCTGAACCAGGTTAGATTTGGTTGTCTAAACTTTTAACATGATGCAAGAATACCAATACACAGTTAAATCAGATGTACACTGCAAAATGGATCTCTGACGTAAGTGGGTCAACAGTACTGTAGGTGAGTCCTTAGCCATCGTTGTTAACATTATAGAGCCCAGTTCAAAGTCTCTTGAAGTCAACAGGAGTCCTTCCATTGACTTCAATGGGCTTTGACTCACCCACAGAGTGTATTGTGAAGCAGCGGGGCTGGCTGGCTAGGGAGCTGGACTGGGTTTTAGGAGACATGGGTGCTGTTCTACTACTTGTTTTTTGATCTTTGGCAAGTCTTTTAATCTCTCTGTCTTGGTTTCCCCAATTATGAAATGGCTTTTGATTCACTCATCTTTGTAGAGTGCTTTGAGATCGACAAAGGATAACTGCCAAATATTATTAGATCAAAGAAATGTAGGACTGGAAGGGACCTCAGTACGTCATGTTATCCAGTCCCCTGCACTGAGGCAGGACTAAATACTATCTAAAGGGGACACTTTATTTTGAATACAAACACATCTTGTGTGTATTACCAATATATTTTTATCTGGAAATATCTTGCATGCTTTAACATAGTTGAGATTACATTTAGATGGGACTGAGGGTAATTTGACACGAGGGAAAATACTGAGTCCTAGCATCTGGCACAGAGGTTAGAAAACTTATTTTAATCAAGCCATTGTATAAGCACATGTAATTTTCCAACACAATACTGATCCTGTGCCCATGAAGCCAATGGGAATTTTGCCATGCTTCAAGGGGAGAATTGATCCTTCATACAAAGACCGCAGGAAAAAGCACCTCTTGCACTCTACGTACAGTAGCTTCTGTTTTATTTTATTGGTCGTTCCAAGATCACAAAACAAAATTAGATGGCTCCCAAATATATGTTGTGGACATGCCTATAGCCAAAATGTTTACAAAGCTAAGGACAGGTCAAATATATTTTGCAGTGTGCCTGTCCTTAGTTCCTCTTTTCAGAATGGTCCCCTCTCCTGACAGAGTGTTAGATGACCCTTAGCAGCAGTGGTATAACAGAGCACCTAAGATGTCACACCCCCTGGCTTAAAGTGGTTTCCCTTATATGCAGGGTTTTCAGTTTGGTTCACGGCTCTCAGCTCCCCCATTATAAAAATTGTTCCAGGACCCCTGGATGTGGGGTTGTGCAGCAGGACTTCTCTTTGTTAAATACTATGCCTTCTTCACTGGGCTAGATTATGGCACTAGCCACAGCGCACAGAATGTGGCAACGAGGCTCAGGAGGTACAATACGGTCTTCAGCTACTCAGCATGCAGGGGGAGTGTGTAATCTGCACTGTCCTTTCAGATGGTGCCTCTTGCTCCTCAAATCACATGCAGACATGATCATCTCTACTGTCCAGGACGAAGCAGATGCAAGTTGTACTTGTAGGAACAATTTGTGCTCATTGGCTGCACTGAGGGAGCTGTCTCTCTGGTTCCCACAGGCCAGGGACTGCATTTGTCCCTGGCTCACCAGCAGGGTGTGTGAAGCAAGGAGGGAACAATGCTCCTTATGTTCTCCCCCATCACTAGTGCCCCCCAACCTATAGGCACTTGTACTAAATCCAGGGACAGGCTAGCTCATAGTCCCTTCTGTCAGACACTCCATGTGTGTCATGGTCATTGAAGCTTTACAATATTCAGGTATCCTAGTGGACAAGAATCTTAATATGAGTTCCCAATACGATGCTGAGGCAGACAGTACTACTGAGATCCTTGGATGTATAAACAAGGGAGTAGTGAGTAGGAATAGGGAGTGATTTTTCTCCCTATGGATACAGCACTGGTGAAACTGATACTGAAATGCTTCATCCACTTCTGATGCCCACATTTTAGAAGGGATGTTGAAGAATTAACAAGGGTGTAGAAAAGAGCCACAAAAATTATTTGAGGGCTGGAGAAAATGCCTTATAGTGAGAGAATTAGAGTTCCAATGGCTTAGCTTATTAATAAAAAAAAAATAAAATAAAAATAAAAGCGGTGACTTGATTACAAATGTATAAGGACCTTCACGGACAGAAAATAGCAGGTAGAAAGGGCCCTCTGTCCAGTGGAGAAAGGCAGAACAAGAACCAGTGTCTGGAAGCTGAAGCCAGACAAATTAAAATTAGACACAAATTCCTAATTGTAAGGGTGAGAAACCATTGGAACAAAACTGCCAAGGGAAGAGGTGGAGTCTCCATCTCTTGGTGTCTTCACATCAAGACTGGAGGCCTTTCTGGAAGATCTGCTATAGTCAAACACACATTATTGGACTTAGTACAGGGGTAGCTGGGTAAAATTTAATTGCTCTTGATATACAGGTCAGATTAGGTGATCTAATCAACAAGGAGTCTAGTGGCACCTTAAAGACTAACAGATTTATTTGGGCATAAGCTTTCGTGGGTAAAAAAAACACTTCAGATGCAATTAGGTGACCTAATGTTCCCTTCCGGCCTTAAACTCTGAGTATGCTACACAGCAAAAAACAAACTATGGCTGAGAGTCTCGGAGCCTGAGTCAACTAAATATTTTTAGGCCTGTACTGTGAGACTGAATCAGGTGACCTAGGCTCCGAGGGGTTTGCTGCTGTGGGGTTTTGTGTGTGTGTTTTTGCAGTGTAGCTGTACCCTCTGAATCTATAAATCCTAACAGAGTAGGTAAATATTATCCTCGTGTCACAGATTGGAAAACTAAGGCACAGAGGGTTAGATTCAGATCTGACATAACCAGGGGCAACTCCAGTAGAATCTCACACACTTATATCAATGCTCTGAATTGGGCCCTGAGCGGTTACAGGCCTAACCCAACTTTTACTTCAGTCAAAAGGTGTCTTTCCATTGTCTTCAATGGTGCTAGATTGGGCCCTAAGTGGACTTGCCTTGATCCTTCAGTGTATGCTGTAAAAGCAGACTGGATTTGCATGGCACCCCACTGAAGTCAAGAGGGACTAATTGTAATCTGTTGCCGGGTTAGCGTCAGTGCTAGGATTAGAATCCAGTTTACATTCTGTCACCACAAATCCATGCTCCCTCCCTATATTATTTTTTAAAATAGCTTTACTGTTGCATGTAAAATACATTAGCACAAGACAGTAATTCTTATGTAAGCACAGGACCAAATTCTATCCCCATTGAAGTCAGTGGGAACAGAAAGGGACCCTATTGTCACTATATTCTAAATTTCTGATAGACATATCAAACAACAAAATAATAAACAACCATGGTATTAGGTATCCTTTGATCCTTCTCTTTCCCTTATCAAAGAAATATTTAAACTCTTCAAAACTTTATTTTATGCACTAGAAAATAAAACCTGTATGTTTAGGATTTTTTAAGAGTTTTGTGTATTTGTGTATAGTAACTTGAATACATAAGTATTTCCAGTAACACACTGTAGAATTGGATATAGCAACTTACAGCCAGCCAGCCAGACCTAATGCTATAGGAAAATGACCTGAAGTGAAAGAATATAAAACTCAAACAGAAATGCTAACAGGGTTGCTTTTAATTGTATTGTTTTAGACTAACATTGGAGGGTGGGAGATGGTAGAGTAAAAACAAGCCTTTTTTTCCCTTTGTTGGTGTTGCTAAACTACTCCAGCTTTGCCCTTTTAAAGAGCAGGGAATGGAAGTGGGCAGCAGGGGAGAATTTCCCTGTATAAAAATTTTGGGGAATGATTGGTCTTGGCATTACATTCTAAAGAATTAAGGTTCTTGATCCTATTTTAAACACTGATTATAAATGAATGAACAATGGCAGCTGGAATCACTACTCAGTAACAGTATCAAATAGATCAGAATCAAATGAAGACCATTAACCATGTGTAAATAGCTTATAAAAGTGAATCCGTATCTGCAATTGTTAAATTAACTCTTCCCTTTGGCAGGACTCATGCCCTCCCACCCAAAATTGTCCTTAGCCCTTCTCCCACCCAATCTAATTGCCTCACTTTAGCACCTCTACTGCACGTTCAAATTCAGAAAGAATTTCTCCTCCATACAAATATCTCCCGTCTCCGTTACCTTGATGAGAGTGGCCCAAGATAGTTTAGTTAGAGGCATGCAATGAAATTAAGCAAAAGCAAAGGACGAATATCAGAAAAAAATTCATACCTAAGATCTAGTAGATTAAAGTAGTTTCTCAAGTGAAATGGTGGAAACCACATACTTGGGGCAATTACAATTGGACTGGGCAAAACAATGGAGAATACAGAACTATATTTCAATATCCGGTGTTGGTCCCTGAGTCATGTACTAAATGACTTAATACTTTTTTGTGCGTTAAACTTTTTTGCGACTGAAACTCCTGATCCCATTTATTTTCTCCTACCAGTAAGGGTATTGATTAGTGATGGGCATACCTCAAAGGCCTCAACTGCTCATTTTAATGTTAAAATTAACTTGAATCCTAACCTCCACATTTAGAGTAAATTTTCAACTTTCTGTGGTCAGTGGGAATTATGTGGCTCTCTTTGAAAATGTCAGGTAAGTATCTTCTGGTCCATTTGCTAGATGAGATGAAGCATAGTCCAGCCACGGTAATTGGTATATGAGACCATAAGAGAACCTAAAAGAGAAAGTAAAAGAAAAGTTAGTTCACCAATTTACTGTACCATCATTTAAGTCTGAGTTGTTTGTTATGTGATATTTATGTAAGAATGTAAATTTTAAAGGGCAGATTATCAGATGGTGTAAAAGAGTAGCCCCATTAATTTCAATGGAGTGATGCCCACATACCTCAGAAGAGGATCTGTTCCAAGTGCTCGAGAGATGCTCAATGCATTGCATTTGTGCTTAATAGCTTCATAATATCTTTATAAATAGAAAAATATATAAATAAATGAAAATATACCCTTACTATACCCCTTGTAGGTGGGGCATCTCCCAGTAGCCATAATTTCCTTACTGCTTCCCCCAAATCAAGCTGAGGATTTGAATCATGGCCCATTTCCATTTGCTTATTGCTTCTCACCACTCGAATGTGCGAGGGTGACATTTTAATTTGTTTGGAAGGGGAGACAAGATGCTTCTTTTGAAGCCAGTGCTAATGTCACTTGTGGATAGCAGATAGGCAATATTCTCAAAATGGCCATGAAACTTTGGCCAAGGTTCCAAAGAAACCATGCTAGCATCTTTCTAGAATACAGTTCTGAAACAATCCTTCCTAGAAAGTTGCTTACACTGGTTCCTGAGATGGTACTGCCAACTCCTAACCATGCTATAAAACTGGTGTACAAATGATGCTTTCTGCAGTATTGTTTGTGCATTTTCTATACAATAACATGGTTTCTGGAAAAGTTTCACAGCACAGTAATATCCTGCCTGTATGAGACAAAGAAACCATGATAGTACCTTTCTAGCAAGACCTGCATTTATGCGGTTTTCTAAAGAGATGCCTCATCCTGCAAGATGCTGAGTGGTCTCACCACCTGTTAAATTCAGTAGGGGCTGAGGATGCTCTGCATAGCAGAGATCTAACGTGATCTTTGTTGTTATGATCTGCTTTGCACTGGCTGCAGGATAATATGCCTTGTAGTTTCTCCCAAGTATAGATTTCCTGACTTACTATATTTAACTATTTAATAAAATGGTACAGAAGCACTATATGGAAGCAAATTAAACATTTCAATATGGACAGTGGTTTTGGCTAGACTCTCTTCTATGTGCCTTAAGGAAACACAAGCAACAAAACACATCTTGTGATAAAAGGGTATGTCTACACTGCAGTGTAAGCCCAGGGTTTGAGCCCAGGCTCAATCCTAACCCCCCTTCCATCTACATGCAAATTGTCCTAACTCAGGGCTTGGCTCCCAGCAACCCACAGGGGTGGAAGATCTAAGCCTTAGTCGAGGTGGGACCCCAGGTCCAAGCCCTCTTGCTTTGAAATGTAGACACAGCCCCACTGGACTCGTGCTCTGGGAGTCCAGCAAAAGTATCCCACAATTCTATGGGTCAACTTTTTGTCCTCTGGACAGTCAAAATTTCCCACATTGCCCCAGGAACAAAGGGCTAGAGCCAGCCACGTAGCCAGGTGGAGGGAACAGGGGGAGCGATCCAAAAAAAAAGGCGCCACCTGCTGCCGTGCTTTTACTCACCCAGCGGCGCTCTGGCAGCCAGCCCTCACTCACTCCGGGCGTCTTCGGCACTGCAGGTCCCGCCGCCGAAGACCTGGAGCGAGTGAAGGTCCAACCGCAGACCCGAAGCACCGCCGGGTGAGTAGAAACGCCGCAGCAGGTGGTGCCTTCTTTTCGGATCGCTCCCCCCATTCCTCAATAGGGAAAAATGTAAAAGGCGCCCAAGAAATTGACAAGGCGCCACTTGTGCTCAGTGGGGGAGCGGCCGCTGCCCTGGCCCCCCCCTAGCTACGCCACTGGCTAGAGAGGTCACAGTTTGGGAGGGCGCTAGGAAGTCTGGGATATGGGTGGTTGGACTCAGAAGCATATAATACAGTGTAGTACCTAGAGTCCCGTTGGGATCTAGGGTTCGACAATTCCTAAGCTAGAGTTCATACTCCTGGTGTACAGCCTGTCAAAGGATGCTGGCAAAATGAAGAGTACAAAAACTATAAGCAGCTGTAAAATTATGGCTTTTATCTATTGATCCATTGTTTCTAAGGCTAATGTACTCAAAGAAAATTAAATGACTGAGAGGCTAAGGCCAACGTTTTCAATGTTAATTTTAGGTGTCACACATGAGACATCTTAAGCCTCATTTTGAACACCTACAATTCCTACTGAAGTCAGTAAGAGCTAGACGTACTCTTAAAAATCAGGTCCTGTGTCTCCAGTTGAGCATCCAAAAATTTAAAATTAGTAGATACTTTTGGAACTTTGGGCTTGAGTGATTTGCCTAAAGTCACCATAGAAGACCAAAGCAAACAAAAGGGCGACACCCACGGAGTCTTTACCCAACAAAACTTCCTTTGCCACGAGTTAGCATAGCAACTCCACACAGTGATTTACCATGCAGTCTTATCCCAAATCAAAATGAGAGGAGTGTCTGTAAAGAAACAAAAATAAACAAAGTATTTTAAGACCAAAGTATGTGAACATGTAATTAAAGCCTGTGTGATAGCTTGGGTATAATAAAGGTTGCACAGGCAACATTATTTCTTGCATTTCCTAACTTTTGAGTGTTGACTTTGCAATTTTAAACACTCTTAACAATTTTTTGTTGTTGTTTGTTTTTAATGCAGTAGTCTATAGAATACCAACGTGGCAACGATAAGGATTTCCCCCCCTGCAATTTGTGCTAGCTAAACCATCCTATCAATGCTCTAAGGCAGTGGTTCCCAAACTTGTTCTGCCGCTTGTGCAGGGAAAGCCCCTGGCGGGTTGGGTCAGTTTGTTTACCTGCTGCGTCCATGGGTTTGCAGGGGAAAAATGCCAGAATTCTGCTAGAAATATCCTGGTTTTATCACAATTCTAGCTAGTGTGGTTCTGATCCCAATGCTGGCAGGGCCTCTGTTGGGTCCTCAGTTCCTCTCATACACCTCTAGTGATGTCAGTGAGGTTGCAAGGGAAGAAATGAGAACAGGATCTGGCCCAAATCAAAGAACTCAGCACGATGAACGAATACACACGTGCACGTGTGCACACACCCCTCTTCACATCGTTTGGTTAAAAATCCAAAGGTTTGGATATGATTATATGTGCACTTTATTTTCCCTTTTCTTTTAAGGGAAAGTATTTCAAGCTGCTAATTACAAAAAAAGTAATTAAAATGGCTATTTTAGTTTTGAAAGGGATCTTGCAATTTTAAGTGTTTTATAATACATGCATGCTGCCGAGCAAAAGGTATTGTGTTTACTACTGAAAATTTCAATGGTAGACTTAATCATAGTTTTCAAAAATATAATTAAAAACATTATCTGGAAATGATCTTTGCACACTTCATAACACATTCCACATTTTTCTATACAAAGCCTTTGTTCTTTGAGATTTATTAAATAAAAAAAATTGGCAAAGAAGATAGCTTGGATCAGTTAATCTTAGTTAAAGCTCAAGCTGTTACTTACATATAATAAGTTAATCATTTATACAATGATTAACTCAGTTCGGGCATGGCTACACTTGCAGATGTAGAGCGCTTTGAGTTACACCAGCCTTCATAGAGCGCAGTAGGGAGGGCGCTGCAGTCTGTCCACACTGACAGCTTCAAGCGCACTGGTGTGGTCACATCTGCGGCACTTCCAGCGGCATTGGAAGCGGTGCATTATGGGCAGCTATCCCAGCATGCAAGTGGCTACAACATGCTTTTCAAATGGGGGGGGGGGGAGAAATGTGGTGAAGTGTGACAGGGAGTGTGTTGTGTGTATGTGGGGGGGAGAATGGGTTTTTGTGGGGGCTGAGAGCATGTCAGCATGCTGTCTTGTAAGTTCAGACAGCAGCAGACCCCCTCACCTCCCTCTCTCACACACAGCATTCCAAACTAATGGCTTGCTTTGTCTCGGAGCAGATAAGCAGCTGGATGTCAGAAACGGAGCTTTCAAAGGGCATTTCCGCATTCCTACAGCTGATTCCAAACAATGACAAGAGTGGCCACTTAAGGGGATTATGGGACGTTTCTGGAGGCTGATCAGAGCGCAGTAAAGCAACACCTCGTTCACACTGGTGGCGCTCCAGCGAGGGCGCAGCAAATGTTATTCCACTTGCCAAGGTGGAGTACCAGCAGCGCTGTAGCTGCGGAGTCAGAGCGCTCTACATGCCTTCCCAGTGTGGATGGGTAGTGAGCTAGTGCGCCCGGGGCTCCTTTATTGCGCTGTAACTCGCAAGTATAGCCAAGCCCTTAGTTATTAAAAATGAAATACCTCAAAAATGTGGAAATACCTCAAAAAGTACTATATATAGGTTTGTTTATACCAAACACTTTCCTAAAATAATAGATTTCATAAAAGTTTGTACATTACTATTTTAAGTGGAAAAATGTTTTCCCAGACAGCAATTAATGGACGTCATTATTCTTTGACACCACTGTAAATCAGGAATGACTACCAAGGCCCATGGAGTTAAAAATCTTGCACCAGCTTGGAGAATGGGGTCCTATATGTTAATGATTCACACAACTAAATAACTTTTCCTTTAAAAATGTCTTATTTAATTGGAAGGTCACAGAAACACAAAAGAAGAGCAAAATTCCATGTTTGGGAGACAGGGAGATGTTATGGACAGAAGAAATAACGTGAGTGTGAAATGTGGTATTTCCTCAAATAAAACGGGATGAGGAGGGAATAGCTTTATAATTGACTAACATCTCAGAAAATCTCATGCCAATGTTTGATTTTGAGATACACCCCCACATTTGCCTACATGGTGCCTCCAGGCTATAGAATGTCAGTACAACGCTTCAATTGTCTTTCAGATCAAATGCTCGGGCAGTGCACACTCCAACCCACTCAACCAGTCTACACCTAGAAAATAGAATGTCAATTGTTTTTAAAGGATTAGGCCCTTGCTGTTTGCAACATTGCTCTATCCTGATTTCTATACAGTACAATTATCACTAAGATGGATATACTAGAATATATTTTAAAAGGAAAACTTAGCTTAATGTTACAATGTAAACCAATGTGCACAAAGCTAGGAGTTGCTTTCCTTATACTTCTAGTAACATTTGACTCAGATTATAAACAGTCAGAGTTTACCACTATTTTGCTTGATGGATGGGTATGGAAACTAGTGTACATAGAAACATCCAACTAGTGGCTTTGCTTCCTTCCCCCTCGAAGTTCTTTCAGTCCTAATCACTAAAAGTGTACCTGTTAGTGGCTTTACCACAGGAGACATGTTGGACGTCACAGCCACCACAGCTCGAGTCTTCTGTTGCAGTAATGATAAAATTTGTATAAAAGAAAAGAGTTAAGATTCTAGTGGAAAAATATATATGTCAGATATTCTTAAATAGACAAAAAAATGTGGACCCCATGCTCTACTCTGCAACTGAGTTCCTCTGGATTTTTTTCAGCTCTGCACTGTTGAAACCCCATTTACAAGGACTTTCAAGGACAGCTGCAATAATGGGAATCCTAATAGCTGAGTTCAACAGGTGCACCCCTGTTCAAATTGTGCAGGAGCTGATGGAGTTAGGAAACACTGTGAAGGTAAATGATATCTGTATAGATACCCCTTGCTGCCTGAATTCTCCCCAAAATCAAAGGGGGCCTTGGGAAATTGGTGTGAAGAAGTGGAATCAGAACCTTCTTTCACAGGAGAGGCAAACTATGTCCTAATGAAAGAATGAGTAGGAAACTCCATTAGTTGAACCTAATGGTGTTTGCTTTGTTCCTTTTTTTTTTTTAAAGCAGTGCTGAACAACAATGTAGAAAGCTGAAATTTAGCACAGAGATGGCCCTCATCAAGGAGAAATGCCTTTGAGCATTTCAATGACATTTGGTTTTGATATAAAGGAGTCAGGAGCTTTTGGTGTGTGTTTTAGCATTATTCAGAGCGAAGATAGGCTGCTGCAGATCCCTCCCTCATTCTCTGCACATCCAAACATGCACTGGAAAATACACGCTCTAGAAAGCGTATATTAGTTTAAATCACAAAAGTGCAAATGGACAGATGCAGACTTTATAAAGTGTGCAATGAAGGAGAAAGGATCCATAGGATTTAGATCTAAATAAAATCTGGTCACTCAGTGCACTTCAAATTTCTGGATGAAGAATTTAGGAGGAAGGATGGGAGTGTGAACAGAGCCATAACTAGAAGATTATTCTTATCATACAATAGTGCCCTGACGAGACCCCCAACTAGGACCATACCAGGTGGTACAAACAGAAGTAAACATGGTCCCTGCTTTGAGGGCTATACAACCTCAGGCCAGATCTACACTACAGACCTATATCAGCCTAACTACGTTGCTCGGGGGTGTAAAAATCCAGACCGCTGAGCAATGTAATTATACCGACCTAACCTCCCGTGTAGACAATGCTACCGCCTTTCAGGGAGGTGGATTAACTACACTGATGGGAGAAGCTCTCCCGTTGGCATAGTATTGTCCTCATTAAAGCAGCTACAGCACTTCTTTATGTGAAGGCAAGGGCTAAGACTGTAAAAATCTCAGATTCTGCTAACCCTTGTTCATGTTGATTAATAATGTACTCTGTGATTAATGGGACAATCTGTGGGGGAAGGTACTACTAAAATAAGTATCCGAGTACCTGAATCTGGGTCTAAGAAGAAATGTCTGTGAACGATAGGTACCAAGGTAGAATTACTTGATTAATCAATTATACTGTGTTGAAATACTTATCCATACATTTTTCTGTATGCTATTTTTTCATTATGCTTAATAGTTTTGTGAGGTTTAAATACGATAGAGAAAGTCTTCTGTTTCCTGAGTTTCAGTGGGACAGTACAAATAAAAATAACTAGAAAATATTATACGAGAAATGGACACTTGTCATTATGCCATTTTTTCCTCTTTTCTTCCATTCATCTTTTCCCTGTTCCTCTGTTTGTGTTTTTTACTGTTTCCTTTCATCCTCACCATTGTTGCTGCTACACTTCAATTCAGTAGTAGTAGAATTTAAAACTGACGCCTTTTCTAACGAGCATTCATTGTCTGATTTAATTTTTCTTTGTCCTTCTTTGGTGATTGTATGCAGATGATTCTAGACAGAACTGTTTTTCACTAATGGGTTCATTCCTCTTCTTAAGAGACCCTGCATTTGGCAGTGGTGGTAGAAATCATTCTTCCAGACTAAGTAGCCTTTTCAGTGTACCAAAATTTTGTTTGATATAAACTGCTGTACCAATCATGCTTTGCAGAGTGGGGCAGGCCATTCCACTATTAGACAGAGCTAGAACTTGATATTTTGGGACTAGAGAGTAATTTACTACTAAATGCCAAAAACTGACAGACTAAACATAGAAAAGAGAAGTGTGCAATATTTTCTGCTTCATTCTGAGAATACCATATGCTTGCAGCTGTATGGAGCAGAATTAAAGTTATGGTTGTTATTTGAGTTCAAGTTAGTGCTTTTGTTTGGGAATTAAATTTCCTGGATTTCTAAAATGCAACCTTAAATCCATCTTAAAGACTTTTGCTTGGCAATTTTATAAAGAGATAAATATTGATATGGTTCTATAATCCAAAAATCCTATAACAATTTAACAAGTATTGAGAAGTGGCAGGACTAACAGCAGAATATTTTACTATCAGCAAAGGAAATGACCAAGACAGTCAGATTTATAGATATTTTGGCTAAGAGATTTATTTAGAAAATAAAATGCAATAAAGTTCTAACAAAACTAAGTTCACTGGCAGGCTATCCAGCAGACGGTAAAAGAAATGAGCAGCAGCAAACAGTCTAATAATGATTACATAAAGTAAATGTCAGAAAGAAAAACATAAAGCCCTGCCAACTTAATAATAGGAACATGACATGACTCAGAAGACCAAAGCTGGACATAGACTATGACAAGCGTATGATCTGCCAGAAAGATGCTGCTGATATTTTGATCAGCATTAAACCTGGAAGAGTGACACAGTCACCTGATGATAGAGCACTGCACTCAGAATGTGATACTGTTTCCATTTACATATACCAAAGGGGCACAAAAACTGCAAAACATAATGGACCATTAGAAAGCTCCATTTAAAATGCCAGTGGACTTTCATAGAAAATGGAAATGAAGCCTTAGGCAAGTCAAAAACAGTTCTCTTTAAGTTCTCACTGATGTCAATGGGAGGCTTACACAAATAACAGAACTGTTAGTTATCAGTTAAGTCATGCTGAGCAACACTCAATGGAAAAATATGCTTCCATGGAAGACCCCTGCTCTGTCTGCCCTTCTGCATCTCCTTCTGTGTTCCATCCTCCTCTATCTGTGTGTGTATCCTCGCTTCTTTCTCTGCATTTCCTTACCTGCAGCAGCTCACTTTTTACCCCAGAGATTCACTCTCACTGACTTCCCCATTCCATCCACTAAAATAATTTGTGATGAAATAGTGATGACATGTAAAGTCTCCCACAGATGGCTGATCAGAGTGGGGAAGTTCATACCTCAAAGTCATTGTTTCAGGCTCTCTGTAGACTCAGGAAGACATCTCTGCAGTGACTTACCATTCCTTTGTATTTGGAAGGTTAAATTCATAACCAAGAGGGCTAGAAATGTAGGGTTTGGTGGTGGCGGTGGGAAGGGAGGTTAAACAAAAGCTTAGGGTTTATCTACATGGTGGGGTAATTTATACTATGGGGTGTGATTTCTAAATATATTGTATGTTAATTGGTCCGTAGTGCACATTGCTACACTGTATAGACAAGCCCTTAGAATCTGGTGGCGTTTTTCTTGCTCCTGGGGTTTTATTCACCACAACTGAAACTGTTAATTCATAGAAGCGCTAAATCAGTTTCACCCTCTCTACTTCCGAAAGCACTTGTGGTAAAGCACACAGATTGTCACAGGAAACACAATGTGGTTTACAAAGGAAGTATCAAAAGTAACACATGAAATGACTAAGTTTAATTGCCAACTGGAAGAGAATAATGCATCAAACAAGATTTGTTGGTTTAAATGTGTTAAAATGAATAGCAATAGTCAAGGCACTAGAAATCCACAAGTGTGGGATTTCCCGCTTTCTGTAGTTTCAGGGTATCCCCATAGACTTCTTGTAACTGTGGTTTCAGAGTTTACGCTTTCATTTGCAAAATATAGGGACACCATCAATTTGAAAATCATATTTCTATGTGAAAATTCTGTACCTACTACAGTTACCTTAGATTACAAAAACAAAGAAACTGGGGGAAGGGGAAACATTAATTTTGTTTCCTATTAATTTACTTTATATATTTGACTGCACTTTGTGTATAGTCAGTGTCATTGTTTTGTTGATGTTCAGTTGCGCTCCCTCCTCATACACTGATACCACACACTTGACTGTGATGACAACTGTTACAGGGCTTTGGAGAGCTAAGGTTCACGCTCTTCCCTGGACCTCCATCAGCCTGGTATCTGAGCATCACTGTGGAATGTGGTGCTTTGAAAATATGAAGTGCTACATAAACAATAAGTAGTAGCCAAATTCTGCACTCGTTTACATCCCTATGTAACCCCACTGAAATAGTATTTGGTCCATCAATGAAGAAATACATGAAGTTACAAACAGCTAGTTTTAGTGACAAGATTGTTAAAATTCCAGTGACAATTAGAATATTACCATTCTCATGGTGGTCCAGTACTTATGGACATTAGGGGATGAGACAGACTGAGCTGTCAGTCACCAGGAGCCCCTCTGGACCTCAGCCACCGTGCGTCATTGAGCCAATATGTCATGCCTCTAAGAGGAAGGGCAGTGAAGACTAAGTGCTTTCAGTGAGAGTCTCCTTCATGGACACACCAGCAGGGATTATACTTCTCGAATACCTCAAAAAATATAACGCCCTTTGAGAAAATACCGTATGTAGCCTTTTAGAGCAAAAATGTCAGTGTGGCTGAATTTCCCCATCTCTGGCCAAAGAGGCACCAAGATGGCTGCCAAAGTAGCAATGGCTCCCTTGAGCCCAACCTGTCTCCTAGCTGGCAATGACAGCTGGGCCTCTACATAGGCTGAACCACAAGAGGATGTTAGGTGCCACTGCTCTGGTTCAGACCACTGTGGAGATAAATTCCGCTGATAGAGTTCTTGGTCTTCCTGTTCAAGAGAAGTTCCTCTTAAACATATCTGGCCCTAATAAAGTGAGAGAGTTCCAGGTAGGAGGTTCATTCTGTAGTTCTTTACTAACACCCTTGGAATCTGAGGTTTCTATTCATACAACAACCACCCCAGTGTGTGCACCAGGCAACCCTCTATCCATGTGAAGCCCACCTCTAACCACTCAAAGGATGATGATGAGGTGTATCCCATTGAGAAGGTAAGTCAAAGCTTAGCCAATTTGGCCCTTTCCTGAAAGGGTAAGAAAATGTCCACTTCTGTGTTTAAATTGCTAAAAGGAAGCAATCTGGAATCTCATCTGCTTCTAGTCACCTGGGCTGCAGAAAACCACACCTTGGTCCAGCTCCAGAAAATGAGCCCAACAGCCCTAACATCAAGCACGAAAGACTTCAGCCTGGACAGGATGGGGCTCTGTTCCTGAATGACAGCTTCCAACTCTCAAAATTGAAGGATTCTATCAAACAGAAAAGACAGACCTTTCCCCTTCCTCCTTCCCCCAGGGCGGACTCAGGAATAAAAATCTAAACACCAACAAATAGCATAAATAAATTTAAAAAATCCAAAAGGAAATTTAGATCCCATCATTCATCAGAAAATGCAGGAACATGCAGGCATTTTTGGCTCCACAGCTGGTTTGAAAATACACAAGGCAAACAGCTCTCGGCTGAGGAAAATTCAGTGGGGAAAGATTGTTTAGAAATAAAATGGTTGCGATTTGAAATATAAGAAGCAAAATAAGCTCTCTCCATAAATGTCTAAAATGGAATGTAATCCATATGTTTACAACAAATCCAGAGCTCCTTTTCTTCCGCACAGCAACAAAAATTTCAGCTTCCATGGGATTTGCTATTGTTCAGGTTATCTATCACAGAGTGCATCAAGGTTTTGATCATTTTGGACAAGAGGGATTCAGTTATTACATTTTTGACCTTGATAAAGGTGAGTCAAAGAAGGAATATGAAAGAGGCTACAGCCAGCATAATCCCTGTGTTTTTGAATCACAGCTTCATAGTAAATTACATAAAAAGCAACCTCATACCCACTTAATCCCCATTACACCTAAAAGTCCTAACGAATACTAAGGAAGCAAAGTCATCCTATTTTAAGGGAAGCTCACCAAAATTAGAAATCTAAACCAGATGAAACAGTTGTTCAGTCCATCTCAACATTTCTGAAGTTTTTCAGGAACACAGTGAAGAAACTGCTTCTCCAACAGAAACTCAGAAGGAACCTGAACTTGCCCTTTATAACATCACAAAGGGAAAATATTAAAAACAGATGTTAGTGTAACAAAATGGGGATCCCACCATTTTGATATATGGTTACGGTCAACACATAAATCTTACTGTATCAACAGGAGATTAATCTGCCTTTGCTTGAGTTAACTCCACTAATCAGTGGCAAATATGTTGGCAAAGTTGGTTACTCCTGCTTGATGGGGCTCAGATGTCCTTTAGGATTCAGCTCAGCCATGATGTGTGTCTCAGGCACCCTCCTGGGTTCTGCTGTCTGTTTGGTGGGGCTGTGGATTGCTGACTATGTGCTTCTGTCTGCTTTGCTGGGCACTCTTTAGCTGTTGCTGTGTTTCTGTCTCTGCCTGCTGCCCACTGTTTCCATCACCTCATCTAGGAAAACTGCAGAACTGAGCACCATCTCCATAGAAGAGCAATGCTGCATGTTTCACAAGGATAAAGTTGTCCTCAGCCTTCCACACTTTTCTACCAAAAGTATCAATAATATTCCACAGATCCTAGGAAGTCATCCTACCAACCCTTTGCCCATAATTTAGCAACCTGGAAAAAAAAAGCATGGCATGTGTAGAATAACAAGAAAGAGTTAAGGTAATACATAGAGAGAACACAGGCATACCAAAATCACAGTTCATGTTTGTAATTGCCACTCTTAGAGGAAAGAGAAAAAACTGCCAAGGACACTATTAAAAGATGAATATGAGACAGACTATATTGTAGAAGTAAATCAGAGAGGAGGACAATAACCTACCGCATTCCACAGTCATATCATATGTTGAGAAGGCTACTGCATTGGTCAAAGAAATATGCAAACCTTCCACCAGGTCCTCTAGTATATTATTCTCATGCATGAGACTTTTTAGTTTTGAACTTTCTTCCATTTTGGATGCACCCTTTAGAAAGTGCTTTAAGCGATGACAATGCAGCAATAAGTGTAAAAAAACCACCACCCAGCAACAAACAAAATTCACTTCAAATTCCAATGAACTGTCCAATCTCTTGTAGTTCTGGGTTTGTTTTTTTTTTTTTTTTTACTATTCTAAACTTTGTCTTATACTCCTTGCTGTTTATAGTCCATAAGTAGTTTCTTCTTTTCCCCCTTTCTTGCTTCCCCCCATTCCTTCCCAAGTGTTACACCTTCCCTCCACTTCCATGCTCTTCCCCATTTCTCCACAAGATGTGAGTTCCTTAGGAAATCAACAGGAGGTACAGGAGCTTGCAGATGTGGGTGTGGGCATGTGGGGGGTTATAAAGGGCAGCACTGCAGGGATGCATCTTTTCTCCCCAAAAAGTCACACATGAAACCATTAAACTTACTTTTATGTCTCCCGCTCTCAAAGTAAGATCTCACAAAAAAGTATTAGAGATGTCTTCTTTCTTGTCCTGTGACTTGACCTCAAACAGATTAGTTTAGTAAACTACATTTTTAGCTGCCCTTTTTTTGGGGAGGGGGGTCCCGTTTCCTCTTACCTATTTTTCAGTAAAAATGCAGCTTCACTAGTGCTACCAATGCTGCAAACTCTAGGGCAGACAGAGCATGGGCACCAGATGAGGGCACACCTGCATGGGGTGTACACTAGTTTACACCACTGGTACCACTATGCAGATGCATCTTTGGTGAATATCAGACAAGACTTTTTTTTTAAGCTGAGACAAGTTAAAATAGCTTTAATTCAGGAACCTCTTGCCTAATTCACTTCAAATTTGATTAAAAAATTGTACCTCTGCTCCAGATCTAACCTATAAATTGTAAAGGGACTACTACTTTATTTGGGGATGTCCCTTTATTTTGGGGGTGATAGCAAAAATTGAGCTTATAATACAAACTCAGTTGAAACCTTAACTCTGGAGTGGGTACACGACTCTATAATATGCATGTTTCCAAATAAAATGTTTCCTCAACGTTTCTTATGGCATAAAATATACTCTTTGAAATCTCACCTAGATGAAGAGTTGAGTTTTCCAAAAGACTAAGATAAGAAACAAGCAACCTCAGATAAATATAACAAAATAAAAAGGTAATAATTTAGCTTTCATCATCCTTACATGTAATCCACTCACACATCCTTTGGTTTTGTGATAACAGGCAAAAGTTGAGATAGGTGAACTTCAAACCCCACATTTTATGTTAAAACCAGTGTACTCCGTAATAGGCAGAGATCATCACTGCAACTGTCTTGAGCTTGCAATTACTTCATTCACAGTTTAACTAATAATGATCTACTTTCCCTCAATGACTAAATATAGAGGTTAAATTATGCGCTGTTACACTGCTGTAAATCCACTGGGTTACTCATACGCACGAGGTTAACAGCTGAAACAAGAATCTGGTCCATAATCCCAAGCAGCATGTTTGGGATTCCAGGCAGGTTTGTTGTCCAGTCTGAAAGGTCTGACCGGTAACAAAGATAACGCAAGACACACCGATCCCTGCTGCCCCCCGGGCAAGGCTCAGCTCTCCCCCAGAGAGAGACCTCAGAGCAACCCCCCAAGTACCGCAATCCGTGCCACAAAAAGGCTCTTCTCTCCTCCTTTGCCACCCGTTCGCAACCCGGGTGCCAGGCTCGCCATCTACCACCCCGCGCAGGGGGAAAGTGGAAACCACTGCCCGGGGAGGGGGGCGCTCCGAGCCATCAGCCGCAGTGACTCTCCTCCACGCCCCTGCAGGCTGGGCGGGCTGCTCAGGGGTCGTGTGAGCCGTGCCAGGCAGACCCCCCCTGGCGAGCGCGCGGGGGGGATGGGCGCCCCCACTCCCGTGCTTTGCAGGCAGCTGCCATGAGTCGCCGCCACCGCATCCCCCAGCGCAGCCGCTGCCGCCGGCGGCGTCAATCTCCCCGGCTCTGCGCATCAGCATTCTTGACCAGCCGCACCAACATATCCCTCCGCCGCGGCCGTCGCGCGGCGGAGGGATCCGCGCAGCAGGTGCGCGTTCTCCCCCTACCCCTCCCCAGTCCGCTGCTCTTGCTGCGGCGGCTCGGAGCATCGCGGCTGAGGGGAGGGGGAGCAGCAGCAGCAGCAGCAGCGCGGCGGAGGCGGCCCCACCCCACCCCCTCTCCTCTCCTCTCCCCGTGGCCGGGCGCGCGCTGCTCGCTGCAGGGCTCGGCTGCCGCTTCGCGCGCGCCTGTGAGACCGCCGCCGCTCTCCGCTCCTCCGCCCGACTGCGCCAGGCGAAGACGATGGCCGGCTGGCAGAGCTACGTGGACAACCTGATGTGCGATGGCTGCTGCCAGGAGGCCGCCATCGTCGGCTACTGCGACGCCAAGTACGTCTGGGCCGCCACGGCCGGGGGCATCTTCCAGAACATCACGGTAAGGGCCGCGGCCCCCGCGCCGGCTGCGAGCCTCCCGCCCGCCCCGGCTCTAGCCCCTGCCCGGGGGCCGCGGAGCGAGAGCCGCTGGGGGAGGCGAGGGGAGGGGGTGATGCAGCAAAGAGCCGCCGCCGTGTGCTCCTGGCGCCCGCGGGCTGCAGCCCAGCGCCGCCAGTGGGGGTGCCGCCCCCGCCGGCGGTACCTGCAGCTCCCGCCTCCCCCCGGGGGGGCCGTGTGGGGCGCAGCTCGGGCGGCGTGAGGGGCCCGGGCGCTCCCCAGGGCGCTGCTGGGTTTTGTCTGCCGCTTTCCCGGCCAGCGGGGACCGTTATGTGAGCGCTGGGCGAGGGCAGCGGAGCGGGCCCGGCTCTCGACGGCGGCTTGCGGCTCACCACCCCCGCCTGCTGCCCGGGCCCCCGGCGCCGTGCTGCGGGCACCTGCCCGTCGCGCGGGCTAAGCCGGAGCCGGCAATGCGGCGGAGGGAGGAGGAGAGAAAGGCCGGGCACAGGAGAGACTTGGCGTAGGGTTCCCTGCGCCCAGGCGCGTTGCTGCGGACCGACTTACGTACCCGGCGTAGGAGGCTTTCGTGAATCCTCGCCCCTGGCTACATGTTTTTCATCTCCAAGATGGCGCACTGCCATTGATTCCCCCCCCCTCCTCTCTGTCCTTTCCTCCCCGTCTGTCCTCCTCAGAGGTATTAATCATCCCCGTTCCTGCAGCACAGCCCCCTTCCCACCCACCGCTCAGATCTCCCAGGTAAAGGGCTCGGAAACCCTTTACGGATCAGGGAAGACTGACTTAGACTGGGAGCCCTTTTAGGCCATACCGATATTTGTGGGTGGTGGTGAAATTGCATGTTTTGATTATAACCTTGTGTCATGATGTGCATCAGTCTGCAGCAAAACGTGCCTTTCCCCTGCAAATCCATCCTCTAGGTCTCTGTCTTCTGCACGGGAATTTGGGGTTACTGCTTTCTCTAGGGAGAGGAGGGCTTGGCTAAGTGGTGACGTCCTGTTGGATTTACCCCCCCTGGCTCCTGTGCTTGCCGTTCTCCTTTCTCTCCTTAGGCCCCTCTTTGCTGGTAGCCTTGGTATGCAAAGGCTGCTCTCCTGCATAAAAGCTTTCTCCCCCCACCTCCACAGTTAAGTGATCTCATTGCATGGCCACAGCAGTACCCCCTCCTCATCATACCCCTTCATAGGATGTGATGTCAGTGGGGAGTAGCCATACAGGCTACGCTCGCTGGGGAAACCAGCCCTGCAACCAGCCTTGCCTTACCTGAAGATGGTTAAATAAGTGGTGCCCTGAGGATTTCCAGCTGCTGACTGAGTCTCCTCCCCTAGGTGTCTTTGTACCTTGTTAAGATGTGGCCTTGCAGAGTCCTGGTTTGTGATTGGAAATGGCCAGGGCCTGCTATGACTGTGCAGTTCTGGAGGGCAACGCCTTCCATCTTCTTACTTGCTTTCTTGCCGTTAGGAAGCATATTGCTCCTGTCTTGCCTTCACCCCACCCCCACCTCCTCCTCCATCCTGAAAGCAGTGCTGTAGAGAGACTCCCCTATGGAAGGGGGCACAGACTTTGTGGGCAAACAGCATGGGGGGCTAATGTAGCCTGACACCTTTCTAAATGTAACCTATCTTGGGCCCTGTAGGGACTAGATAACACGATTTCCCTCTGCACAGAGGGGTCTCTTTAGCACTGTGATCCCCTCCCCCACTTTTTAGGGTACTGTGAGACCTATGCATTTACTGGAGGTATGGCTTTATGTTTCTGAGTTTACTGTCTGAGTCATTGAAACTTAGGCATGATATTATGTAACATTCCTTGCCTAGAAAAGGGCACAGCTGAACATTGTTGTACATCATCAATTTGGCTACAGTTTGTATTAGAAACATAGTTGTTATTTGGCCTTTCAGAGACCTGTGGCAGCTGACCTGGAAGGAGTTTAATATCCCACCAATTGTTGTTAAGGAGGCAAATAGCACTGGGGAACACCTGCATCATAGTTATCTGGATGCGGTCCTGAAGGCCTTTTTGGTACCTCATTATCAATTAACAAAAGTCTGATTCATTCACTTACTAAAATAAATGGCCATGTGGTTAGCAAAATGCCTGATGACATCACATTCCCTTCTTCAAAAAGAAGACTTACTGGAATCTAGCTTCTAGGCCTTATCAGTCTTGCAGACTTAATCTATAACTGTACAGTTAATATTTGAAATATCTCAAAGTAGCACTTGTGTTCACTTAAAATGGTACTAAATTAATTAAAATATATCTCTGAATAACAAAACACTCAATTCCAAAGTGTCTTGTCTTAGGAAAACTTGAGTGTCCCTTTCAAATCTTTTTGCTGGTGACAAGTCTCTTTTGAGTGGAAATTAACCTGTAAGCTACTTCACTTAAAGTACATGAAATCCAATGTCTTCTGTGAAAGGTAGTTGTGAGAGCTTGCTGTGTAACACTGAATTTCTTTTTTGACAGCCCATAGAAATAGATATGATTGTAGGAAAAGACCGAGAGGGTTTCTTCACCAATGGTCTGACTCTTGGTGCAAAGAAGTGCTCTGTGATCAGAGATAGCCTGTATATTGATAGTGAGTGCACAATGGACATCAGGACAAAGAGTTATGGTGGCGAGCCAACATACAATGTTGCTGTAGGCAGAGCTGGTCGAGGTAAGCTGTAACCTTTTTTTTTTTCTTCAAAAAATTTAAATTTATCAAAACAAGAATGCAACCTTCAAAACTGAGCTCTAATCATTAAATTACTTACTTTAATCTGCATAAAAATATTTTTTTAAAATTTCCACAATGCAATCTTGGTGTAATTGTGGTCTATCTATTTTCCAGGACTAGATCCGTATCTAGCAGTCCTAGGTGAATGACCACAGTTGGGCACTTAACTGTCTTTACCAAATGGTTTCTTGTGCCTACAGATTTTAACAAGCTAGTGTAGCCTGTGTATCAGTTGGATTAAATGTAGTCTGTCACTCATTTGCATTAGGTATATTGCAGTTAAAATGTTTGGAGTCCAAAGCATAGTGTCATCATGATGGTCGATGTTATTACATCCTATTGAAATATTTTGTTCAGCATAAATTTGCTGTAAAGTGACTTCTATTAAAATTTCTTCCACAAAGACTTGAACTTCTTGTATGGAACTACCTAGTTTGAATCATAAGTTTTACACTAACTCTTAACAATTCTCTGAGAACCTTGGAAGTCTGATTCTGGGGCAATGAATGAACTCTGTCCAATTGGGTAGCTGCAGGCTATTTATATAAAGCTTGTCTAACTACTTGTGCATTTCATCTAAGCTTCTATAAAATACACCCTACTTGGAAGGAGCTGGACTCCATTCCAAAAGAAACTTCTCTCAAAACACTGGGTACAAGCAACATGAGGACATCCAAGACATTATCTAGGCATTCTGTTGTTAGCTGTTGTAGACTGAGTATGTTAGGGACCAAGGTCAATGTATAAACAAAATATAGCTACAGAGACACTGCTGTATTGTGTATTTTTACGTAGGCTGTGGAGATGTTACATGTATTTTAACAATACGGTCAAATGGAATAGGTAAAGATTTCTGTGCTGCTTGGGCCGTGACTGTAACTAATTTTCTTCCTTTCCTTATAAGGAAAATAGTATCACTATCTAGATAATTGCTTGCTATAGTTATTTTGAAGTTTACATTATTTAAGATACGTCCCCTTATGATCTGGTCTTTGTGATGTTCTGCTGTATACCCACACGTAGGCACAATGTATCTATATTACAGTGATTCCTGTCTCACCAGTCCTAATTCAAAGCACAATTAAGATGAGCCAGTGTTCTTGTGAAGCAAAATTCGTAACATGTAGTTATGCTTGGCATAATTTGATTTTTATTTTTTATAATTTCAGTGTTTACTTTGAAGCATTTTTTTTTTCAATTATTGATTTAAATGTTCAGTTGTGTAAAATTATGGGAGGGTCACACAATGGGGGGAGACAGAATTATTTAATAGTAGATTCAAAAAATTAGTATTATAAATGTTAAAACAAATTGTCAACATCGCATCAAAATATACAAAGTAAATATTCTCATATCAAACTCTTAATTCATTCTCAAATAATATTTCTTGCTTTGTCCATCTGTAAATTTCATTTATTGATGGAAATAGTATTTCACTGGCTTTTGTGGATGGTGAAATAGATATTTACCAACATTTACTTAAAAAAAATTTAATCCTTCCAAGTTTACATGTACTCTGTTCTAGTGACATCTGGTGGCAGTTAGCATATAAAGCCTCATGGCATGTAATGTTCTGTTGACTATAGTTCTGTAGGAAACTCTTTCCAGTAAAGCAACATTGTTATTTTTGTAGTCAATTTACTGTCGGGGGGGGGGGAAGGGGAAACTAGATTTAAAATCAGCTCAGAATTACTTTACTCCATACAAAAAGCTAATTGCACTATAACGGAAGGAGGGACTCAACATTTCCCCCAGAACTGCGTTGTTGCTTTACTTTACAGTAGTGTCATAAACACAGACTTCTACTTAAAAGTTACTTAAAGTTTACCAATAAACTTCCAAACAAAACACACCTGGTAAAGTTGCAGTGTACACGTTACCACTTTGAACTTAATCTCTAGTCTAAAAATACTAGAATCTGCTATGTCTACTGACATTGCTATCTTTCTCCTTTTTAACATCTTCACATTGTCTACCTTATAAGATGTACCCAGGGTTTCCTGGTCAGAGAGGTCAGATGATAACATGCACCATGATACATTTTATCTTTTAAATGGCAGTTACATAATATGTTCAGGTTTTTTGCAAAGTCTTATGGCTAGCACACAACTTTTCCATCTCTGAAGTCAGAGGATTCTCTCCCCCAACCCTGTCTACATCTATACTTTAGAAAGCTCTTGTAAAGCCAACTTAATATCCAAATATTAAAACCTGAATTGGTGTACTTATTGCAATATCCTATTAAAACTTGCATTATTTCCTTGTCTAACACACTCCTTTAAAACCTCTTTTTTTTTTTCTTTTCTCTTTCAGTCTTGGTCTTTGTAATGGGCAAAGAAGGGGTCCATGGAGGCGGATTGAACAAGAAGGCACACTCAATGGCAAAATACTTGAGAGACTCTGGGTTCTAGTTGCTAGGCAGACTGTTAAGTATTAGGGGGAAATTGCTATTAAACTTTCCTGGCAGTGAGCTTTAAACCTTACATTCTGGAAACTTTATTAGCAATGCAGGATGATGGGGTATGAACCTGTGTCTCCTTTGTATCCCTTTGTTGGTGGGGAAAGGTGTTTTTTTCTTTAATTCTGTTCATTTCTGTTTTGTTTCATTGTGTACTCCAGCATTGGTTATAGTTATGGGAAAGGAAGGTGTCCATGGAGGGACACTGAACAAGAAAGCATATGAACTGGCTTTATACCTGAGGAGGTCTGACATCTAAGCAGCCTCTCCCCATCCATCTAGCAACTGTCTTCATCACCAACCAGTTATGTTCACAGTGCTACCAGACTGTAGATGGTAGTTGTTTTATGTTTTTTGTTTTTTTTTATTTATCTGTTTTTTTTCTAATATCATGATTCCAGTTACCCTCGTGTTCATTTGTATGTTAACCACTGTATGTAACCAAGTCCCATATCTGGCACCATTTTTGCAGCATAAAAATGATATGCATGATACCTTGAAAAATGTTTTAGGAGGGGGAGAATGCCAAGTCTAGGCTTTGCTTTGTCTTAGCAATTAATACGATATTGACAACTAAAACAATTTAAACACTAAACACAAGGTGCCGATTGTACAATCTAATTTGATCAATGTCTCTTCAGCACTTTGAGCAATTACACAGCTCATTTAGTCTTCCTTTTGTAGAGCATGGTTGGGGGGGGGAGTGCATGCATATCTTTACTTCTCTCCCTGTCCACTCTTTCATCCACGTTTTGTTTGCTTCCACCTATTTTTATACAGTGCCTGGTTTGTTTAACCAATTTGCACTCAAAAGCTATTGTGTTTCATTAGTTTTGTTGTTGCACTTAACTGTAAACTTACAAAACTCTTCATAGTGTCTGAAGTACACGCTGCTTAATGGGTGCAACTGCAAAACTATCAAAAAGTGTAGATGCGTTTTCTTCACGATCTTACAACTGCTGTCCTTGACTGAATACCTAGGGACATTCCATCATTGCAATAGTTCAGGCACTTTTTTTTTTTTTTTTTTTTGCCAGCTCCAGTTCTGTAGTTGAATTATAAAAAGCTGCCATTATGGACATTAGATATCCCAACATAACCATCTGGAGTGTGTCCGATTTCAGTTTTTCATAGGACCAATTTTTAATTTGCAGCTTGGGGTTTTATATGAAACTACAGGGTCATTGTGGAAAACTGCCACCTTCAGCTATATACTGGTAGCCTATACTCCAATCTTTCTGTCAGATTTAACTGATAATGTGAAGAAACATGCTGCTCTAAAACCAATGTTTGTGTGAGGGGTGGTAGTTCATAAGCTTAAAATTGTTAAAATGATACCATTTCAAATTTGAAATAGTCATTTTGCCTGCCACGCTCTTGCTGCAGAAATTCTGGAGTAAACTGCCTCGTGCACTAGTCATCTAAAATGTGTAACCAGACGGTCCATTCAAGCACGGTACTAACTTGTATGTCCATTTAAAGAGAACTGCAGAACTCTGTATACAAAAGAATAAATGGGAGATGGTATTGGTTGGAATAACTGACTTGGCTGTCTTGTGATGAATTTTTTAATATGTATTCTGTGCCATACTATTGTTTAAAAAAAAATGAACTGTTGCTATTGTGAGATGGATTTTAACTGACTATAAGGATTTCTTTTGAATGGCACTACTTTAGGGACATTCTAGTATTTGCTTCTATTATTTGGGCCTTGTGGATAATGTACAGATTTAAACAAATTCTTGTTGCTGATTTGTCCATTTCTTTCCCTGCACTTTTACATCTGGGATACAGTCTAACTCATCTGATTTAATATGCATTTCAAAAAATGCCATAACTATTAAACACCTTGTTTACAGACGAAATAAATTTATTCCAACCAAATAAAATCAGACTCTTGTAACTTTTTTATGCACCAGACTTTTCTGAAGCAATACACTTCATCGTGTAGCTTACTGCACTAACTTGGTATTTGTGTGTGCCTCAAAATGTAATTCAGCTCTGCAGGGATTATAAACTTGTGGGACAGCATTACTGTACTGATGTGCTAGTCCTTTTGCTGTAAAAATGACTGTTTAGAACACTAAGCTGACTTAACCGCTTATCGAGCTTAAGTCATAGCAGGAGCTCTAATAGTCTTCATGTTTGCTTCTTTTAAGTCTTGTACGGCAGAAGGGGATACTTTTACTAAGGGAAACTAGTGTTGTTGACTTCTCGAATCCAGCAAATCCCATGGCAGTTTCTCTTTACTGTTAGGGTTGCTGTTTAAACATTCTCTACCCAAGCCTCCTCAATGGTATGTGAATGCAATGAACACTTTTTGTAACCTACCCTCCTTTAAAACAGGCTGGATGTGACCAGTGCTGTACTAGTGTTTCCATTAGTATAAGAACTAACCCTCTTTGTACAAATCCACACTGCTCTTGGAGAAAACATGTCAAACGGTTTAGCATCCAGCTAGTTAACCAGCTTCAAACTCTGCAAGTCTTTCAGATGGTCTTGACTGATGACCGTGCACAAATTCTGCCAGCCAGTCCTCAGGACACCAGCTACATTGGTAACGGGCATGATGGCTACTTCTAAACATGGTGCACTTTGAAGATATAGGAATTGTCTCTGCAAGTTCACCTGAAACTTAACTTCTCCTTCACTAGGCTACACCTACCCAAGGAAGGAAACAAAGGCAGTCCATGAGACCCTAATCTTAACTCAGGGCTAGTCTAAACTGGCAAAGTTAAGGCTAGTCTAAAAACGGCAGCACTTTAACATGGCTTATGTGGTCTTGGCAGAGCGCTGGGAGAGAGCTCTCCCAGCACTCTTTTTAAAAAAAAAAAAAAAAAAAAAAACCCACCTCCATGAGATGTGTAGCTACCAGTCCTGAGAGCAAGACTCCCAGCACTGGTGCTTTACAGCGCTGAAACTTGCTGCACTCAGAGGGGTGTTTTTTCACACCCTTGAGCGAGAAAGTTGCAGTGCTGTAAATTGCCAGTGTAGACAAGCCCTAAGATTCCAGATAACTCCTCTTAAACTGTGCTTGGAAAAATCTCATCCGTCTTGTCCCACTACTTGTCTTAAACAATCTTCCCCCTCCCTTCTGTTCTGTACGGGAGCGCTCCCGCAGCAACGCTTTGAAGTGCGAGTGTGGTCGTGCACCAGCGCTGGGAGAGTGCTCTCCCAGTACCCCACCTCCAGGAGGGATTAGCTTAGAGCGCTGGGAGCCATTCTGGGGCACTGTTTACACGGGTGCTTTACCGGCCTGTAACTTGCTGTGCTCGGGGGGGGGGTGTTTTTTCACACCCCTAAGCGAGAAAGTTGCAGGGCTGTACAGTGCCAGTGTAGCCATACCCATAGAGCCTGCTGCTGACACCACGGGTACTCTCACCAGGTTAAGTAGTAACTTCCCCAGGACTATCCTTAGTCAAAGGGGGCACTTCTTTTTTCACTTTTATCTTTATCTCATGTCTACCTTTTGATTACTCCTTACTTTCAGCCCATTGTCTCCATTGAGACCTGTATCTTACTCCACCTGACAAAAATTTTGCATCTCTAACTGTTGCCTAACTTTTTTTCTTACCTTGCTAACATTGGTCTCTCCTTTCCTCCTAATTCAGCTCCACTTCCTCTTGTATCTGACAACTCCACTATGCTACAAAGACACCCTCTCCCCCACTTTTTAAGGATTTGAGTCTTGAATATTCCTTTAACACCAAAATAAGAAACAATCTGTTAGATCAGTCCTGTGATCTATCTATTGAAGCAACATATCTGACAGTAGCTACTATCAGATCTTTCAGAAGAAACCTTGCAATAGACAGGTAAGGAATAACCTAGTTGCAGGGAAAATCACTAAGACTGGTTTATGCCTCAAAGCTTGAGGGATTGTCTCCACCAGAATATTTTTTTTGTTTTGTTTTTGTTTTCCCTGTTGTAACTCTGGATGTTTCCATATACATGTTTAATCGTTGTTGTTTGTTTTAAAAATCTCCTAAGCTCTTGACTTCAGTGGTATCTTGTAGCAAAGGGTTCCACAGAATAACTCTTGCATTGTATGAATAATATTTTGTTCTGTTAAAATTTGCAGTCTCATTCACCCTCATAATACAAGAACACTATATGAAAGTGCTCAAGCTACTACTTTCTCTATAACATTCATTTTTGTATACCTTTTACCGCATTCCCTCTTATTGCACTTCAGTGGCAATCACTCTGCATAAGTAAGCTATTTCATGCTCAGTTTCATTGCTCGTCTGTGAACTCCAATTTCTGCTGTTTTTTGAGACAGGGTCACCAAAATGTAATATAGTGTTTCAGGTGAGGGAATACCATTCATTTATATCGTAACCTATTTTTAGTATTCTTCATCCTATTCCTTATTATCCATTGTTTCCTTTTTTGACCCATTCTGAAATTTTAGCAGAGGTATTTGTGTTGTTCACATGCCTAGAATTTTTTTCTAGTATGTTAGTGTAGAACCTAGTAAGGAGTATATTTAGCGCAAATAATTCCTTTCATTGTGCATTACTTTGCATTTGTCTCCAGTGAATTTCATGGGGTAATAGTGTCTTCCATCCTTCACTTTCTTAGGATTCCTCCAGAGTAGGTTGGTCTTGACTAACCTAAACTATCGTCTGCAAACCTTGCTGCTACTTTGTTTGCTCCTTTTTTCTGGATCATTAATAAATAGCTTAAATATCACTGGTCCTATACAGAACCTTATGACTTCCCCTTGCTTAAACTTTCATGATAAAAATTGACTAATTCTTTCTCTTTTCTGTCTCAGCCAGTTTCTTATCCATGTTAGTTCTTTGCCTCATCCCCCCATGAGTACTTTAATTAATAACCACATGAGACATTTTGTGAAAGGCTGTCTGAAATTCTAAATGACCAGCCTTTATCCAGTTTATTGACCTGTTCAAAGAACATTTAAAAAGGAACAACTTCCCCTTATAAAAGCCTGCTACTTACTCCCTATCCTATCATAATAATCTAGGTGTTTTAATAGTTCTATTTATTACTGTTCCAACCATTATGCCAAGTACAGAAATAAATCTTACTAACTTACAGCTCCCAGTCTTACCTTACCTTCAATAAAAAAAGTACATGTAATTTTGTAGCATGCACATCTCTACTGTAGTTACTGATTTTAATGGGAAATTTCATAGTTTTATTAGTAGTTCAGCCAGCTCATTTATTACCAAAAAGGGTAGGTATCTTTTCAATATCCTCTGTAATGAAATTTAATGAACAGAAGGATGCTACAGAGAAGCTAAATGTGACTTATGCTCCTTACGTGCACACTTAATCCCTTGCTGTCCACCAGAACCAGGGACTCCTACAGCCTTCCTTCCATTGTTAAGAAATGTATTTGTTTTCATATCTTTAGCTATTTACTTTATAGATTCTGGTGTAGCCTTCCTAACTTCCTCCTTGCATGTTGCCTGCTTAATTTATACTCTTAATGTCTTTGCTAGGCATTGATTTCAATTTTCTGAAGGATCTCTCTTGAGTTTTCTATTTAGCCATACTGGGTTACTACTTGCCTTGTTCAGAGGTATGCACGCCATCTGAGACTCTCCATTGTTTCCTTAAATCTGTTTCCCAAACTTTTGAAATCTGAACCCGCTCTCTTTTCTGGAAAATTGAACCAGTTGTGTCATTCCTCCCCTCCCTGTAATCCTACTAATGTATTGTTAAAGGCCTGCATATCTTAACTTACATGTGTGCACTACTCCTCAAATAATGCTATGTCCCTCCTGGGATGCGTTGAACAGTGAAATAGTTAATGTTAACATTAAAGTATAAGTGGCATCTGAATTGGCACCCAGTGAAATGAATGGGATAATTCTAGAGCCATTGTTTCAAGTTCTCTACAAACTCAGTCTGATTTCACTTGCTTCACTTTATAAATGTTTGCTTCCCTTTACTCCACCCTTTGGCTAGTCTTTCATGCCTCCTAAGGGTGCATGCTTCACACTTTGAGAAATGTTACCTTAAATAGTATCTAAGCCAAAAGGATTTGAATGTCTCTTTGCTTTTGACT